GGTCTGCATATGAACAAGCCATCCCGTCACGTTCAGACACCTGCCTTTGCATTGTTTTGAGCAGATGCTTTTGGACCCCAACAAAAACCAACAATCACGTCGACCTTTGGACCCCAACAAAACAATCAACCAACAAAGCAACCTTCCAAACAAACCAAGAGGAACAAACCAGCAAAACAACCAACAACACAACCAGCAGAACAACCAACAAAACAACCAACAAAACAACCAACAAAACAACCAACCAAACAAACCAAGAGGAACACAATCAAACCACCCCCATGGCTTGGACCCCACCCAAAAACCGCCCCAAGGCGACCCAACAAAAAATCCACCGAAGAGCCCGGCCGCGTTGCGCCGCGAGGCGACGGCGGGAAACTGGATCAGAGATGTGCTGCTCCAGTGCCTGCCGGACGTCATCAACGCCGCGAATGCGCCTTCCTTCGACCCGCCGGGGTTTCTGGTCGGTTTTTCGAATCGGGAGTCGTGGGATTCGTGGAGCACGCAGCAGGGTGTTTCCCTGGTGACTGGTTGATCTTTGGAGCCCGCAAGATGGCGGTTTTCAAGCTCGTCGAAAAAAGCGGTATTTTCGTTGGATTCGTTGGATGTTGAATTGGGTGTGTCGATATGTATATATATATATACATATGTATATATATATATATACTTGGGGGGGACCCCGAACATGGTGCTGTGTTGGATGTTGATTTGGGCGTGTGGATTTTTTAGGGACCTAGAATGGATCTCGGCGTTCCGTTTTTCCCTTGAAAACCACCCAACAGGGTACCGTCAGAAAGACACCAGCCACAAGATGCCAGCCACACGTCGGCTTTCGACCCGCCCCGGGTTTGGGCACACCGTGACGGTTTTTGGGTCATAGGGTGCGACGTCTCCGACGTCTCCGGGATCGGTCAACATGTCCATCTAAGATGGTTTTCATGGGGTGCAACCAAAAACCCACTACTCTAGGGATAGGGATCCTTTTTCCTAGAAAACCTCCGGAAATGTCAAACGCTCGGCTTTCACGGAGAAGTCGGTCGTGTTTTTCTGGCCCCAGCGGGATTAAATGGCGTTTCGACTCTTGTGAAAAGTCTACAATTGTTTCCCCCTTTTTCTCGGTGTTTCTTTTTGGGTGGGCCATCATGTTGATGAAGCGAGCCCTGAACGTTTGGCGGCGTCTGGAGTTGGGTTCCAATTTCAAGCGAGGTACGTCTACTCAAGAGGAAGAAGCTGAACGTGTGCTTCGAGTGCGGTAAGAACCTCGAAACCGCTCGCTTCATGAACGTTTTGGAATACAAGGCCGGGTGGGTGGGGGTCAACCGAGATATTTAGCTGTCCACATGGTAAAACTTGGAATCAGATCAAATGCTGGGCTTCTTGTTGGTTTCACATCAAAAGGCTGGTTTCTTTTTGGTTTCACGTCCTCCGACATACACATACACAGATTCTTCTGAGACACCTTCCGAAGGCATCTCAAAAGACATCCCCACAGACATGCCCAAGACAACCGCAATGACATTCCCACAGGCCCCCCCACCCTCCCCACATCCCCCAAAGACATCACCCCAACCGCAAAGACATTCTCAAAGAACTCTTAAAGGCACACATGCTAGAAGGCATCTCCAAAGACTTTTCCCTGGCCCAAGACACGTGCAATTAGTCGCCTTCGACAGGAATTGTGAGGACTCTCTCCTAAAGATATGCTGCCACAGCTTCCAAGAGGCATCCCCAAAGTCATGGCCAAAAGATCACCAAAACAACCAAAGACATCCCCGGAGGACATCACCCTGGAGACCTCTTTCAAGAGAGCTGGCAAACACATCCCCCACGACATCACCCAAGACAGCCGCAAAGACATTCCCCAGACACCCAAAAGACATCACCCAACAAGAGCAAAACATCCCCAAGACGCCCCGAAAGACATCCCCTGACAGAAAACCCACCGAGACAACTTCCAAGGACATTTGCAAAGCCATGCCAATTCGCAAGGATGTCTCCTGAAGACACGATTGAAAGTCATGCCCCAAAGACATACCTCGGCAGCCGTAATCAAGTTTTCCTGCACCCCATATACTGCAGCTGCGAGCCTGCCAGGAAAATCAAAGCGCAACCCTCCAAACGCTATTGTACCCTGCCGTGAAATCTGCACAGCAGCGCTTGAAAGCGCCTGCGGCGAGCTCCTCCAAAATGGAGGGCGCCTGCCACGAAATCGGCACTCCGTGCAAAGCGCCGACAACAAAATTCAAAGCGCGAGCAGAAGAGTGCTGCGTGCAACCAAAGCAGCGCTCAGTGCTCCAAAGTGCTGCGCCTGCCATGCAAAGTCTGCTTCTGAAGAAAAACAAGCGCGTGACATATTGCGCTTGGCACGTTCTCCAACTTTGATACTTTCAGCACACGCTTATCCAAAGTCAACTCGGGACTGGAGCGCCACAATGATTTCAGTCCATTTGACACATGTTGAGCGCACCCAAACGAGCTGATTGTGCAACAGAGCCAGCGAAAATGACGCTCAAGCAAACGCTAAACGACCCCTAAGCGCAAAACGCAATGGCACGGCAACGCAGCCACGCGACCTGTCAGAACACTGCGCCTGCGCAAGGAAGCAGCGCCTTTGCAACGACGCTGCTCGCGAATACAACGCACGAACGCAAAGGAACGTGCCACGCACGAGCGTGCCTGTGTCACCTATTGACCCGCAGGGCCCCCAAGCTTTAAACGGGAGCCCTTCTGTGCATTCGAGATTTGACAGACAAAGGTAGCAAGGTTTTCCAATTAGGTGAGAGGCAAGTCCTAAGGAATCTGTTTGGGAAGATAAGCGGAACAATAATACATATTGAATTACAATGATAAAGAGAGAGCGTGCCCGGGATGAAAGTAAAACAATCGCAGTACTACAAGTATGCTCCATTGAAGATGATTCCAGAGAAGATGGCGGGTTCGTGTACTTTGACATGCTTGGCCTGTGAATACACTTGGTGCCGAGGCGAAACGCTTAGGGATCTTCATGTTTGCACCAACGGCTTCAACGGGCGGAGCCAAAGCAGACTAGGTCCCCCAGCTAGGTGCCCTTTTACCGCTTCTTTTTTGGTTGGGAGGCTTCCCCGTGTCTAAAATAGAAAACAGAAGAAACAACTCGGGTGCCCTTCTTCTAACCTCTCAGATCTGGAGGACCTAGAGCGCGTCTCGCCTGAGGTGTGCAGCAAGGCATGCGCGACGCTGCTCAAGGCACGCGCCGTGCCGGGCTGAAGGGCTGAAGGGCTGCAGGAAGGCTCGAGTCGGCGAAGGCCGAGGTCGAAGCCACTGGAGCCACGTGGTCAAGACCGATTTCGGGGGTTGAAGGATAGCAAGGGACAACCCCCTGGCCATAAATCTCGCTGAGCTCCGGCTTCTTGATTCTTGAAGCATGGTTCTGGGGATCGGCCATTTCCATGCAGAGGGTTTTGAGCAAGTGGCTCACTTGCTGCGTAGAAGGCAAGTCGGAGAAGCACTCAGCTTGGCGCACTTGAAAAGGAAGAGGAGTTCAAGACGTGTTCTTCTCCGTTCCATGAGCTTGGTATATGATTTTCCTAAGACATCTTCAGCCTTGAAGTGAGGCAAGGCCTCCTTATTATCTTTTTGTGCTTCACTGGTGTCAAAATATTTTCAGTGGACGGCGCTCCCCGTGCCTGCGGCCCATGGGGGGACCGCACGGGTGCGTGAAAATCCAGCGCCGGCTGCCGCGGAGAAAAAAAAAGGAGGGCGGCGCCAGGAACCCGAGGGAGCGACGCCCCAAAAGTTGACTCTGCGAATGGGATTGCGAAGTGGTCGATTCCCTGCACGAGTAGTTGTGGGTCCAGCTTATGTTGCAGTGAGAGGCTTCAAGGGGGCTTTTAGGCCTGACTTCTCGTGTTCGGCCGTGCCTTCTTGCCAGGCCGCGTGTCTTTCCATCCCACGGCAGTGTGTCAAAGCAATGAACCCTTCCAAAAGTAGCTACCTCTGGTTTTCTGAATCAGACTGCCCCAAAAAGCCTTGTGCAGTGTGTCAAAGCTATGAACCCTTCCAAATGGTTAGTAGCTACCTCTGGTTTTCTGAATCAAAACG